CACGCACGCACGCACGCACGCACGCACGCACGCACGCACGCACGCACGCACGCACGCACGCACGCACACACATATATATGTATTATATATCACTTCTTACTGATTTATCTTCATTTTCTATTAGATTTGCTGCTTTTTCAAATATTTTCGACAATTTGTGTGCACGTTGAGTCTTCCTTTTATAGTTCCTCATGGTTTAAATGTGAAAAAAAGGAGATGTAAAGTAAATGAGCATAAGTTATAAAAGATTAATGGTGTTACAATGTACCCCAGTGATATGTTACTTCTAACCCCAAACCGATGTTGTCAAAATTTATATGAATATGTTTGGAACTACTTAAAAATATTAAAAAAACACATGCACATAACTTGAGAAATTGTATTTTAGACATAATAAAATGAAAATACAATAAAAAGCATTTAATTTGAAAAGTTTAAAGCAAAAAAGTATAACATTGTAAATTTACACTTACGTGGTTTGTCTGAACACAATACACATAACCTCTTTTACATGCAGCACACGCGCGATTGGTGGTATGAAGCAAACGCAGGCCTCGATACTGAGTATTTTTGTTCTTCACATGATCATTGTATCTCTTATCATTTAAAAGATATATGCATTGTTACAACTTACCTCCGTTACAACTGGCCCCAGTCTCCCCTACATGTATAATAATGTATTTCAGGAGACGCAATAGTGTCTCCGGCCATGTTCAAAAACTAAAAGACACTACAAGTCTCTTATCCCAAACCACCAAAGTCCATTTTTGGGGGGTGCATAACTACTAAAATATAAAAAATTTTGAATTGAAAGTTGTATGTCCTGAAAGGTGGTATCGCCACGAGTAATTTGAGCCGAAAAAATCATATCATAGAAATGAAAAGTTCAAGCCGTATTCCAAAAAGGATACTCAAAAATTTAAACCTATAAACCCTCGAGCGACATTTGGACCGCGTGCGGTGAGGGAGACAGCAGAAGGCGAAGGCGGTTCGAAAATCGGCCGAAAGTTGCATACACTTTATGTATGTTCACTTTGTACTGACACTTTTATTAATATTGTAATATATCAGTTACTTTTCATGATAATGTATTATTATTAGATAAAAAAGTTTAAATTTTTGAGTATCCCCTTTTTTGAACATGGTTTGAACTTTTCATTTTTAGAATATAATTTTCTCGGATATCACTTACTTTTTAGAGTACAAATATATTACAAATATATATAAAAAAATGATTTAAAAATATTATATAACGAAAGAGAGTGATATACGGCGAAAGAGAGGGGTGGTAGGGGTGAGTGGTGGAGGAGGGGTGAGGGCTTGCGGTCGGTCGAAAATGGTGAAGGTGTGAGGGAATATTAGAAAGTTTTAATACGGCCTTGAATACGGACAAAGAAGAAGAAGAAGAAGGAGAAGAAGAAGAAGATGTTTCTTAATTTTTTATTAAAATTACCACTTTTCGACCGCTTGTATCTTCAGAATGGCTTGACCGATTTAACATTTTTTTGGCTCAAATTACTCGTGGCGATACCGCTTTTCAGGACATATAACGTTCGATTCAAAATTTTTGTATTTTAGTAGTTATGCACTCCTCAAAAATGGACTTTGGTGGTTCGGGATAAGAGACTTTTGTAGTGTCTTTCAATTTTTGACCATGGCCGGAGACACTACCGCGTTTCCTGATATTACCATGAAAAGTAACTGATATATTATTAATAAAGGTGTCAGTATATAGTGAACATACATAAAGTGTATACAACTTTCGGCCGATTTTCGAATCGCCTCCGCCGTCCCCTTCATCTCACCGCCCCGCGCGCAGGTCAAATGTCGCTCGAGCATCGTGCAGCATTTGGACCGCGCGCGATGAGGTGAGGAGGACAGCGGAAGGCGGAGGCGATTCGAAAATCGGTCGAAAGTTGCATACATTTTATGTATGTTCACTTTATACTGGCACCTTTATTAATAATATATCAGTTACTTTTCATGGTAATATATTATTATTAGATAATATCTATATATCCGATATATGTATTTAAACCTCTCAGAACTGACTTTTGCGTAGGCTGCTGGAGAAGTTTCTGTAAACAATATAAAAAAAAACATGTAAAATTTGGTAAAAATAAAGCCATTTACCGAATTTTACATGTCTTTTTTCATATCGTTTGCAGAAACTTCTCCAGCAGCCTACGTAGAAAAAAATGTTGCATACATGTAGCAATACATTTAAGAAATGCGTTATTCAAGCGCAACATTATTTTTATCTTTATAGTTATAATATTATTTTTATAGTCTCACAATTTTCATGTTATTTTTTAACAAGTACCAGAATTGAGAGGATTAAGCAGAAATTGAATATATGAATAATGTATCTTGATAATAAATACTAATTAACAGATATTTACTTCTCACAGAATGAGATAGAAAAATTGAGGTCTCAGTTAAATGATATAAAAGCAAGATGCGAGAAAGCAGAAAAAGAAAAAAGCGAGATATTACTGCGTCGATTGACGACCATGGAGACATTGTCGAATAAAACATCGACAAGTGAAGTGACAAAACTACAGAAGAAAAATGAAGGTATTTATTTTTTTAAGTTTATAGAAAATTTAATGAAAAATTTTTAGTAAAATTTTCTATATTGTATTATGCTCTTTCATCGCATTATCACCATTTAAAGGAATTTCTCTGAAATTCTTCTATCATACATAGTGAAAAGTCATATGCGTGTTTTAGCACTTGTGCAAGAGAAAAGTGTATTACTAGCAAAGATAAAAAGTTTGGAAAAAGAACCGATTAGTAAACCGTACAGAGGTGAAAGGGACAAAACGTACGATGAATTACGTTCGAAACTGAAAGCGGCAGAAAACCTTTGTGAAAGTTTAATGGATGAAAATGAGGATATGAAAAAGGAAATTAGACAATTAGAAGAAGAAATCTATGAGTTGCAAGATAATTTTAGGTACTATATTTTCTTGCATAAAGAATGCCATAATATAGTTATTAATATTATGAAGAAAAATTTTAATTAAATATATATATATATATTATATATATACTAATACATTTATATTTAAATTATCATAAAAAAATTGCGAAGTACGACTCGCTATTATTTGTACAAAATAATTTTATATTAGGTGTACAAATAAGTTTTAAAGCAAAATTTTTAAGGAAATTTAATATTTATTTATTTAGAAACAAAAACACTTAATTATCAAAATAATCACCGTCATTATCTATGACCTTTAATCATCTTTCGGGCAGCTTGCGACTTTCAGAAGCGAAGAAGGTTTCGTCTTTCGATGCGATAAAATTATTCATCCATTTCTTCAAATGCTCGAAAGTATACACCGTTTTGCATTGACCGGAATAAATGATAATCTGAAAGGGCTATATTTGAGCTATATGCTGGATGCGGTAGAATTTCCCAACCAAGCTCTAGCAACGTTTCCTTTACAGGTTTACTAACACGAGGCCTAGCGTTGTCATGAAAAACTTTCACTGAACGTTTTCCTTTGCTAGTAAATGGATGATTTCGTTTGATTTCTTGATTTAAAGTTGACTGTAACGATCATTGTTAACCGTTTTATTCGGGTGGAGCAGCTCGTAATATAGTACACCCTTCATGTCCCACCAGATGCATAGCATAACTTTGCTACTGTGGATGTTGCGTTTTGATATAGTGAGTTGTCCTGGATCCACATAATGTTTTCTCTTTTTAGAGTTATCGTAAAAAATCTACTTTTTATTACCAGTCACGATTTTCCACAAGAAAGATTTTCTATGCTGTTTATTGTCAGGGTTTGAAAAAAAACCGGGTTTTTTTTTAAAAAAAACCCAGCCCGGTCGGGTTTTATAGGGTTTTATCGGGTTTTATTGGGTTTTATTAGATTATTCGTGTTTTCAAGTTCCATTTTTGTTTGGAGTTAAATGTAAGGAAAACAATTTAGCAGCCATATTATAGCATATAATTTTTTATCAATAATCAAGGCCGTCTCCGGGCAGGTCGTGGCATCGTTTCATTCTTAAGAAAGAATTTGCAATTTTTTTTAGCAGTACTTTAGCACCTAGTAAAGTGCTTCAAATTGACGTTTTTGAATAGAAGAGATCATAACCAATCAATTGGTATTGATCAGAACAGAGGCATGGTCGTTTATTAATTCTTTTATGATTTTTAATCCTTGATTGAAAGTTTTTATAAACTTTATACTGCTATTGCATTTTTGTTGAGAAGCGGCGTCCGACTCGAACTTGAAAAATTGTTAAAAAATTAATAAAACCCCGTCCCTCTGTTTTTATCTATACCAACTGATTGGTTATGATCTTCTCTATTCAAAAATATCAATTTGAAGCACCTTACGAGATGCCAAAGTATTGCTGTTATTAAACGGTCCATGAAAACGGAAATTGAAATTCTTGGCGGGGAAAATAGAAGAGAAAGCAACGAAACTTGTTAAAGTTTATTGTTATTTGCGTTCCATTGATAACAAAACTCATTAACCATCGATTGATCTTAATTTAAATTACAATTTTGTTTTTTATTTGTAACTTTTGAGTTTAATTTTTTTTAAATAAAAATATATAACAATAATAAGTTAATTTTGAATTAATTTAAGTATCATGGTACTCTATCTTTCTTCGATCATACTTTGTTACTTCCAATAAAAATAGTTGACTGGATTTTTCTGTGGGTTTTATTGGGCTGGGCCCACCTGAAAAAACCCTGTTTATTGTACAATTCAAACACTTCTCAAAACGATCATTTTTATTTTTTTCACTTAATGCCTGCGGCACCCACTTTTCTTCCTTAAGAATCTTTCCCATCTGCCGTAAACGAATTGAAATATCTTGTTGAGTTACTCGAAGTTGCTGTGCAAGTTCTTTTTGTGTTTGACATGAGTTTTGATCGAGTAATGCTTGCAATTGATTATCTGTAACCTTCTAAGGAGCACCATTACGTTCTCTATCGCTAATATCAAAATCATCCTCTTTAAATAGCCTAAACCAAAACTCACACGCACTTTTGGATACAACATTGTCTCCAAGAACAGAACAAATTGATTCATGTGCTTCAGCAGCGCTTTTTCCTTGATAAAATTCAAATCAAATATTGTACAGTATCGAATAAATTACTTGTCGCTCGCCATTTTAAAACTATTTAATTTTGAGGTTAAGTTTCCAATTGTGTAAAGTCAATTGTTTTTCTTAATAGTACACATTAAGCACCACCACATATCAAAAGAGCGTGAAAATATTTGAATTATAAGTTTAAATTATGCGTTACATAAAAAAACGCTTTAAAACTTATTTGTACACCCAATACATTCTGTGTAAAAAGTACCCGGAATTTACCATTTAAAAAACGCATGTAAAAGATATCGCCACAATTTTTTTCCTGTAAGTTGGTACCACTGTACTAATTACCACGCACAATTTGAGCGCGATCTGTCATTCCGTATGTTAACAGCAGCTGTTTTTGTTAATCATACTTTTGAGTGCTCAGCGATTTTTACAATGAAAAAATTAGTTAAACAAAGAGTTTGCCTTAAATTTCGTGTGCCGAATCACTGAAAATGTTGCAGAAGATCTACGGTGAATCGTGCATATCAAAAACACAGGCATATGAATGGTATAATTATAATATAAAGTATTCAAAGAGGGCTGAGAAGTGGTAGTTGATTTGTTTCGTTCTGATCGATCTTCAACGTCTACGAACGGCGAAAACATCAACAAAATCAAGAAACTGGTGCTCAAAAATCGTCGTACGAGTCTTAGGGCCACTGTCACCAAGCTTCGATTAACTAGTCGGCCTAGTAATTTTGCAGGCTTCCAACTGAAACTGATGTCGGAGAATTTGTGTGCTCAGCTCTGACATCAGTTTTAGTTGGAAACCTGCAAAATTACTAGGCCGATTAATCGAAGCATGGTGACAGTGGCCCTTAGAGAGTTGGTTTAAGAGGTGAACATATCTTTTAAGTCCGTTCGTAACATTATGACTGATATTTTGGGTATGAAACGCATCGCCGCACGACTGAATTGTGCACCACGATAATGCACCATCGCACAAAGCCATCGTTGTACAAGAGTTTTTGGCCAAAAACTTAATGAATGTCATCGACCAAGCACTGTACTAGCCTGATATGGCCCCGTTTGACTTTTTCCTGTTCCCGAAGCTAAAATTACCACTTCGAGAAAGGTGTTTTGAGTGAATTGAGGCCATAAAAGAAAATTCGCTGAAGGAACTGAAGGCCATACCTCAATCAGCTTACGAACGATGTATGGAGGATTGGTAGCATAGTTGTATTGTACTCGATGGGGCCTATTTGAAGGCGACAAAATAAATTTTGATAAATAAATAACTTTTTTTGTGTTTTATTTAATAATTCCGGGTACTTTTTACACAGAATTATGACATTTTTTAATACTGTATATATTAAATGTCTATCAAAATCAGTATCTCTGTTCGTTTCAATAAGTTATCATTTCAATTTTTGCAAAAAAACTTTTTTGTATCCAAAAGATTTATTCAGGATCTTTACACATATAGCAATGCAACACATATGTGAAGTCAAACTGTTTTATACACAAAAAATCTGAAAATTTGTGTTGTATGCGTCGGAAATTACAAGTTTCAAAAGAGATCACAATCTTTTGCAAAGTGAGCTATATTTTTGCAAGATTGTTGCAGGATAATGATTTGGACAGATTTGAGATGTGTGTGCGTAATCCCTTCTCTCCTTAATACGAATGATACTTGTTGAACCTTTATTTGACAACTGTGATCATATCTATAAAATAAAAACCATAAACTTTTTTTTTATCGCTTTTATAGGATAATTTTTATTTTTTATCCTGAATATCCCAATCAAAAGAGAATATGAGGAAATTCACGTTAAAATTTGTGAATTTTTTGAAAGAAGAGAGAAATATGTGCCCGAGTAGAAAATTGGATCCGGTCAACCTGACGTATCATGTGGCCCTGATCAGGGAGCATTCCGGTATATCCTATTCAGGAACCTCTGATTTGGGCCTGATGAGGGAAAACTATGGTATACCATATTAAGGCATGCCTGAGTTCTCCCTCATCAGGGAATGAGCAGGCATGCCCTACTAAGATCTGCCCTACTTATGCCCTACTAAGTAATGCTTGAATTACGCCCTGTCAAGGTATGCCCGACTTGCACCTGACTAGGGAACGCGCAGGCAAGCCGTACTAAGAAATGCCTGACTTATGCCCTACTAAGTAATGCCTGAATTGCGCCCTGTCAAGGTATACCGACTTGGCATCTGAACAGGAAACACGTAGGCATGCCCTACTAAGGAATGCCAGACTTATGCCCTACTAAGTAATGCCTATACCGGCCGGCGGGAGTTCCGACCGCCGCCGCTTGAGGGTCACGCGGTCGAGCGTTCATTCGCATGCAAGATCACGCCGCGCGGGTATATATACGGTGCAGCGAGACCGTCCAGCAGATCTTACTGTACTCGCAGAGTGAGCTCTTCTCGGGCCTCTAGAGCATATCCTACACTCTCTGATCAGGCCCTAATCACGTTGCCTGATTGGTGCCTAACCAGTAGAGCAAATTTAAGGCATATCCTATCACTTCCTAATCAGGCCCAAGTACGCAATTCCAAACTAGGGTATACCCTACACTTTCTGATCAGGGCCATGTAATACGTAGCGTTACATTCAACATCAGGGCCCTATTAAACTACCAGATCCGTACCTGACCTGAAATAGGCCAAGCCATACGTGGACCTGAAGAGTACCCTACCAAAATTTCTACTCGGGTGGAATATCATATTGCTCTTCCTTTGAAAATTTTGTATAGAACGTTTTTCACGTCTTTATGAGGAACAGAGATACTTATACGTGACAAAATCTACGATAAATCTGTGAATGGTTACACTGTGTCGCATTATACATATATTCTTTATATGAATATAATTTTCGCATATAAGGGACGAACAAGCAGACGAGTATACTCGTTTACGAAAAAATTTAGAGCAATCGAACAAAAATTGTCGAATATTGTCGTTCAAATTGCGAAAAGTAGAACGCAAAGCTGAAGAATTAGAAAATGATCGGTCAGCTTTAGAGAAGAAATATGAAGAGGTAAAAGTTATAATTACAAATAAAAATTTGTTTGTTAAATTTAATAGCATATAATATATATACTCAAATAATTGCCGTTCTATATGTAATTTATATTCATTAAGTGTTAAATTATCTTATATATTAAATCTCCCCATTTACCTATAATGTATTAGGTAAAAGAAACGGAAGAGGTTTTGCAAAAAGTAAGCAGTGCATTTCAGGACAGAACGCAAAAGAAGCCGACGGAATCCACAACAAAATTGCAACTTAAAAAGATGGTTGACGAAGTGGAAAAAGAAATAGGTTTAAGGAGATCATTGTATTCTTATAAATTTTATAAAAATCAAATATATATAATATATATCTCATTTAAATTGTTAATGTTTTAGAGGACATACTAAATATCTTTATCAATATTAAAAATGGACATAATGTCGATATACCGGATGTAAAATCGAAAAATAATACTTTAAAGTATGATAAACTTCTAAAAGAACATGAATTGCTTAAAGAGAAATTCGAATCTCTTATGAAAGAACTGGCTAGCGAAAAAGAGAAGAAAAAAGTTCAGCCAAGTCTTAAAGTAGAAGATACCAAAAATATGGATTTACAAAATGGTAAGAAAGAGAATTTATGAATTTTACATTAACAACAGTTAAAAGTAAGATTAGATATATTTAAATTGTAAATTTTATTATAGTAAAGAGGAAGTTGGATGAAGTAGTTACTTTACGAGAAGCTGAAAGAAAAGCCTGGGATAAAGAGAAATTGGCACTTTCAGAAGAAAAGGAGAAATTGAAATCTAAACTTTTGTCGTTATCGTCCGAAAAATTAAAAATTTATAACGAGGTTGTACAACTAAAGAAAGATCTCGGTAAAACTTGTACTTTATTTTTAATATAATTATAAAATCACAATTTTTTAATAAGTCTTATGTGTGAGCATATTTTTAATATATCCAAATATTATTAAAAAACCACTGCTAAATATATAACATAACTTTCATTATACTACAGGAACAGCTAAAACGTCAGAAAAAGATACAGCAACGATGGAGACAACAATAAATGAAATAACAGAAAAACTTTCCCAAGAACAAGAAAAATGTAAAAGGCTACAAGATGATTTGTCATCGTACACCGAAAGGGAATTGAAAATGTCGCAATCGATAACATCTGTAAATATAATTTTTATTCTAGCAATAAAACATTATTTATAGTTGACTAAATTAATAATCTATCTTGCGATATTCATTTCTTTCAATTAAAATAGGTTGAACAAACGAAAGCCAAGCTTGATTCTGAAGTAAAATATTTGAAAAAGGAATTAGAAAATACAAAGTCTACGACATCAATGAAAATCACAGATCTAACTGCAGAGCTTGCGGAAGTTAAGCAGGAGAGAGATAAATTAACATCGCAACTTAATAGCGAGAAAGAGGCAAAGGAAACTGAAGTAGCGACACTTAAGAAAAAGATAACTTCTTTAGAAAAGGCTGGGCAAAATACAAAACGCATGAACGAGATGAAAGAAACTTATAATGAAAAAATATTAAGTACAGTATCGTAAGATACAATTTATTTCTCAAACGTATTATGGACTTAACGTGATGAAATTTTCAGATCTCGAGAATGAGATTAAGAAACATCAGCACGAGCAAGAAACTCTTACCGAACAATATCAAGAGCTTACCAACTCAAAGCTGCAGGTTGAAAGGCAGAATGAATCTCTGAATAGGTAAATAGCAATTCGACTCTAACGGTGTGAGGAGTAAGAATTTATTGCCAACAATATTAAATGTCTTATATAACTTTCTTCACTTAATCTTACGTTTCATTATATATAGCAAATGCTCGGAACGTAAGAGAGACTTAAAAAATATACAAACCGAACTTGAGGAGTTGCGTAATTCAATGAGAACGAAAGAAAGTGAGTGGCGATTAGAGAAATCTGCTCTTGAGGTATAGAGAAATTTTATCGTATAATTATTATTAATAATTTTAGTTCAAAAATTGTTATTATTGTTGAGTTCTACTTTCAGGGTCAAATTCGTGACAATCAATTGCCGAATAAAATTATTGTAGAAGAATTGAACGACGAAATTAATACATTGAAGAAAGAGAATGCCACTTTATTAGAACGACTGGAAGATGTACGAAAAATAGTAAGTACATAATATGTATTATTTATGTTTAATTTTGCTGTTTCGCGAATACATAAAACATCAATATATTGTTATCCAGTTTTTTGGTTTTTACATTATTTTGATTAATTTTCAAATTATTTAAAGGATATATAGCGTATAAAATCGGCCTCCACACCGATTGAGCTCAAATTAATGTCATTAGTTGCCACCCTTGAGATATTAAACTTCCCCAAAAATTAGCCTTGAAATTGCATTTTTGGAAGGGTTATGCAGGGGGAAAGCAAAATAAGAAAAGTGATTTTTCTCGTAAACAACTGGACCGAATTTAATGGAAAAAAAAAATATATATATACATATATTGTAGACATCGTTTAGGTTTAGTTAGGTTTAGGTAAGCCTTATAGTTTTTGGTTAACTGACTCGACTCGACTCTAGGTCGGGTTGACTTCAATCACAAGTATGGTTCGATTTGAGATGCTATACCTGCACAGCATTATGGCGGAAGAGTTGTCTAGTCGTCTTTTATAATCATAAAAATTGTTTTTACGTATATTGTACGAATTAATAAATGATTATACACATATACTTAATTCATACAATGTACGTAAAAACAATTTTTGAGATTACAGAAGACGACAAGATAACTCTTTCGCCATAACATCCTGATGAGAACACATATGTAGTATCCACGTGAAATCTACGTGTTTTACGTGGACTACGGAATTAAAAATTTATTTACATAATATCCATGTGGATTCTACGTAGACACTTCCATATAGATTTCAATACGTATAATCCACGTGGATTGCATAGAGTGAAAATCGATGTTAATTTATATCCACGTGAATTCAACGTTGCTATTTCCTATTTTTATTTCCGTTAAATTTCATCAGTAATTGATCCACATGGATTATACGTGTTGAAATCTATATGGAAGTGTCTACGTAGAATCCACATATTTCTCAATGCATTTACCACAACATAACTTTTAATACATAAACAATTTATAAATATTTTGATCTATATACATATATATATATACCCGTGTGGAAATTTCCCTATTCTTTTCTTTGTTGTATTCCTATGAGATTTCCCTAAAAGAAGGAACACTAAAGGGATTCTATTCTGTTTTCCTAAAACATACTCTATCACATAAATTATTTGTTTTTAATATTTCCATTGAACAGATATATCACAATTATACAGACGTTGACATACAGATTCGTGGGTTATCGAAGTACAGCAGTTCCCGTACGATTGTCAAGGTTAAGCAGCAAGGTTCGTGGTACAACTTCGGATGGGTGACATCATGAAAAAAACTTAACTCTCGAATTTAGAGGAAAATTTTTTTTTCACGATTTTATTCTAAGACTTCTACACGGGTATATTATAGTATAGTGTCACTATTATAAATTTACTATTGCATTATTGCGCTAGTAGTGGATATTACAAGGAATATCGATTCGATTTCCACGTGGATTTTGGTACCGTTTTTAAGTGGATGTCCACTCGAACATTCATGTGGATTCAACGATGCTGATCCACATAGCTATAACGTAGATTTCACGTACTGTTTTTATCGGGATTATGCAGGTATGGTATCTCAAATTGAACTAAATAGAACTTATGATTGAAATCAACCTGACCCGGAGTCGAATCGAGTTAATTAATCGAAAACGCTATTAGACAATTTTTTAAAGTTTCTGTGACTAAAAGAACGTGTTAAAAAAATGTTCGAATCTTTTATAAATTTTTTTTGGTGATCCTTTTAACACTTTTATATTTTTTATATACTTTTTTATATTTTTGGTGATTCTTTTAACATTTCTATATTTTTATGAACACATCTCTGGACTCTACCATAACATATCTTTTTTCAAATTGATCGAAGGGATGGAACATGGTTAAAAACAACAATTATTCACGCAATGCCGCGTCGGTTGGGTGACCACGACACACGGCGCGAATCACAGGCACAAAAACAAAAGTATCCTGTACTCTGATGGAAATCCAGCTATTCTTATGTATTTTGAGCCGCTGAATACGAATCTGACATAAAAATAAGACCATCCCCTGCAAATTTTTAATTTAGAGCAAAAAGATGAGTAAAAAACTTCGAAATCTACTTTAATTGATGCATTCTAAGATATGGCTAAAACTTATGAATGCACCTAGACTATGTTTCCTGAGTTGAGAAATACTTTTCAGCCGTCTATACACCCGTATCTACGTCCTCTACACCTCTTACATAACTTCTAAGAGCCCAAACACACACTTTTGCATAACGCATAAACCATATACATAAAGAATTTGATTGGTTCATTGACTCATGCATAAGAAAATGGGCCAATGAAATTCCTTATGCACATGCTTTATGCGTTATGCAAAAGTCTGTGCTCCCCGCTTCACTCTGACAAGTAAAGGTCACGGAGGTATCATTTTAATGAAACTTTGCAAAGGACCCTGCACTTTGACCATATAACCATGGACTGCTAGTTACCCCCACTCTTTGTATCTTTTCCGTAAGATAGACAAAGAGAACCGTGTAATGAATGTCACGCGTGCCCCCGGGGGCTAAATGGCAAAAATTCGAAACATGAAGTCACATTTCGATGGTAAAACATGAAAAAAGAAAGAGATGGAATATGACAAAGAAGAGAGAAAAGAGAGATGAAATATGCAATCTGTTGTAAAGTGCAGGCTACATATTTTAATATATTTTTTTATTTTTGTCACATGTTCTTCGCTATGACCAGCAACAAGAAGTGTCTCTATCCATTGTTTTTTAAGCACAGAATTTGATGGAATTATCTATTCAATACCAGTCATAATAGATTAACATTGATTTTACAGTCTAGCATTGACATATGAAGAACAGTTTAATATCTAATAATGTTTAACAATTTTACTTTCAAATACAAATAAAGTAAATAACTTACCTAAAAAATTGTAACCGATTCTTATTTTCTTTTTTCCCTTTTTTATATGTTGATGAATTGCACCCGTGTACGAAACAATATTTAACCACATTGTAATAAAATATTAATTTCTTTCCTTCCTCGATTGAACTGGTAAACTTTTAAGATTTATACTATATGTAAGTTATCATTGAAGTACCAGGATTCGCTGTTTTACCATCAAAATGTGATTTCGTGTTTCGGATTTTTGCTATTTAGCCCCCGGAGGCACGCCTGATGTTCATTACAGCCATGGAGTAAGAGAATAGGAGACCGAACTCAATAGCACGCGTGTAACAAAAGTGGTCCTAGTTTGTGCGAATTATTGAGAGGAAGTACGCCGAACGGAATAGCTCTTACCAATGATCGCCATCTTTAAAAGCGTCTCACACATGCGAAATGTAATGAATTCACGGTCACGCATACATCGTATAAAAGTCAAAAGGTGCAGGACGAGCAATCGAGACGAGCTAATCCGCGGACACGCATCGTGTACTTCTAAATCTAAATTTATGGCTCCACGCCTCCCAATAATGGAATAGGTCGATACAGCCAGATCACGTCTTTAATGTAAAAATATAACCGTAAAAATATAAGAAACGAACAGATAGTACGATACAATGCACAGTCGAAGTCGGCAACATTTTCAAAAATATAAGGTAGAAAGCACCCGACCGAAACGCGTCCGCCGCGGCCGAGTGGTTCATCAGAACTGATTGCACGGCTTGTAAATAAATATTTTGATATTCGAGGTCACATTCAAAATCGTTTGAAAAGACAGAGAAAGTCAGGTTAGGTTAACTATTACAAATGGCGTTCATCCATAAGAAGTTATTCTTCTCGGCAAACATCCTCTCAATAAAGCGCACAAAACGAGAACATAACTGGTGTACAGAGTTCAGCCTCCTATTCTCTTACTTCATGATTACAGCGTAAAAAGTCAACTAGCAGTCCATGGTTATGGATACATATAGTCAAAGACCCTGCACGTTTCTTATGGAAAAATACTTTCGATCAAGATGGCTGAAAATTTAGTATGTTGTAGTTTATGGTGTCCTGATGAAAAGTCTCAATGGGCACGTGGTCCTAAAATCAACAGGTTCTGAAATATTGGAGCTCAAAGGCGACATCGGCTTCATATCGATTATTATGAAAGGGTAATAAAAAGTGCATAAAAAGCCCAGACAGCACAGGATGTCCTATGGACATCCGTTTCATGTCCATTTCTGATCGGGATGTCCATGGACCTTTATAAACTGTCCATAGGATATACATTTATGGATGCTCTATGGATATCCCTAAATGAACAAATTTGTATATCCATATGTTGTTCGCAATGCGGATTTCGGCGCATATAGCTACCTCGATCTATGCCAATGCCATCAGGAGACGCGGTAGCGTCTCCGGCCATGTTCAAAAACTGAGAGACGCTACAAGTCTCTTATCCCGAGCTACCAAAGTCCATTTTTGGGAGGTGCATAACTACTAAAATATAAAAAATTTTGAATTGAACGTCATATGTCCTGAAAGGCGGCATCGCCACGAGTAATTCGAAACAAAAAAATTTTAAATCGGTCAAGCCGTTCTGGAGATACAAGCGGTCGAAAAGTGATAATTTTAATGAAAAATTAAGAAACGTCTCCTTCTCTGTCTGTCCGTCTGTCTGTCTGTCTGTCCGTCCGAATTTAAAAATATTAGTTCAGTCAATATGTACGAAAAATGGCAATATATATGCAAATGATGGAAGAGTGGATTTTCTTTTTCGAGGGGGTTAGGGGGGTCAAAAAAAGCTTAACTCTAAGTTTTCGACTTCCTAGACCTGGAGCTTCATTTCTGACAGCCAAAAACGTGTTTTTTTGGACAATATTCGATAACTCGGTTGCTATTGACTTTAGAAGGTCGATTAAGGGTGCATTTTGAAGGTTTTTTTATGCTCTACAAGTTTTGTCTGATGACTTTTTTTGGTACGATCGATTTATTTCGAGATATCGAACGATAAAGGTAAAGAAAGGAAAAATATTGTTACTTTTTTGCTTTTTACGGATTATTATCGCAAAAAACTCAAAAAATGCTTCAGATAAAACTTGTAGAGGACAAAAAAACGAATATTTTCGTTTTTTATTCGTTTCATTCCGT